CATCTTCAGCCTCCGTAGACCAGGTTTTAATAGTCCTCTTAATGACTGGCTGCTGCTTAACAATGGGTTTGTAGGTAGAGGTGAGAAGAACCAGATTATGATCTGATCTTCCTAAAGGAGGCAGGGCAGAGGAGCTGTATGCATTCTTAATATTTGCATAAAATAAGTCCAACGTCTTATTTTCTCTGGTGGTGCAGCTGACAAACTGCTGGAAAGTTGGTAACGTAGCAGAGAGGGAGACGTTGTTGAAGTCTCTAGATATCGCCATGAACGAGTTTGGATGCTGTGTTTGTAGTTTAGCCACGACGGCGCTGATGACATCACAGGCTGTCTCTGGTGCGGTACCTGGTATTATACAAACCACTACCAGAATAACACAGGCAATAATAGTGACTGATGTGAGCGCAACTGGCCTACAGTCATTCAAGGTGGATGTGTCTGGTTTTTTAGGGACCCACATAATGGTGGAGGATTTGAAAATGTGAGGGGCTACTGCCTGGATTAAAGACAGGTTGAATATGTTTGTATACACACTGGTCCCACAACCTTGTGGGGTTTCGCCTACTTTAGAGCCTTCAGGACCTGTGTGTGTGTCACCTAAAAGGAGGTGTCGCCTGCGTCGCAGGGTGATTTTGAGGGGGTGTCCTTATTCAGCCTATCAAACCCAGTATAGAAGGTATTAAGGGAAGGGTGACTATAGTGTGGGTGTCTACAGTCATCGTAGTTTTCTTGTAGCTTGTGACTGACCAGATTCCCTGCTACATGCTGCGTGTGTTGTTGCCAAGTGGTCAGACTTACCAAAGTGAGATTTTGGTTCAGCTGGGAAAGCTTTTCTGATGTTGCTTTTGTAGTGGTCCAGTGTTTTATTTCCTCTGGTGGGAAAGTTACAAACTGATACAGTTTGGTATGCTTTTCTGGAGTTTGCAGTGATTAAAGTCTCCCAGAATAATGAAATCAGCATCAGGATATGTGTTTTGATGCTCATTGATCATGTCGTGCAGCTCCTTGGCAGTGGGGGGATATATACAACACTCACAATATGCATTGCAGTTCTCTGGAAAATAGACCAGCCTTAAGTGTAGTTTTGCTACAAGCTGCTAATCTCTGTGTACCTGCCTGTTTAGCGGTTTGCTTTACCTGTTAGTCTGTTCCTGTTAAACCTGGCTAATAGCTGTTACCTTTGAAATGTGTTGACCCTCTGTAGTAGTCCAGACTAAAGCCCTCTAACTTGTTGCAAACTTGATTCTCAGTGTACTCTGCACTGAACTTGCTTTGGCCTACTTGGTTGTAACTATTCTAATTCCCTGTTCACTCTGCACTGAGTGTAAGTATTGTAAGTTCATTTTGTTTAGATTTCTTGTAGTCTTGGTCATTCTTGTGTTTAGTTGCCCTGTAAATTTAGTTGTAAATAAATTTCCTTTGATTGTACTTTGCAGTCTGTGGTTTGTGTTTGCAGCTGGGTTTAGGTCTTTAAAGCCATGTATTGACTTCTGGCGGTTAAATTAAATTATTATGAAGAACAGGTATCCTCTGCCCTTATTTTGCTGTTGCCCCGCTCCATTGTGCCACCATCTTCTCCAAGCTTGACCTGTGCAAATACATATTACCTGGTATGCATTAGGGAAGACTGACTTCAACATATGTCGAGACACTCTGAATACCTGGTGATGTCATTTGGCTTGACCAATACCTCTGCAGTCTTCCAAAACCTGGTAACTGACATATTCCATATAATGATCAAATGTCATGTCTTTCTGTGTCTGGATAGATTTAGAATTTTTCTCAAACACAAGAGCAGTATATTTAACGTGTGTTAGTTCCTAGAGTGACGTCTCATCAAAGTCGACATCTAAGCTGAGACATGTGAATTCATTGTCCCTACAGTCTCATTCCTAGGCTACATCATCTAGCAGGGTAGGTGAAGGTGGACCCCACCAAGGTCAGTGTGGTCAGAGACCTGGTAAGAACTGGAAGCAAATTTATCAACTTTTACCACTTGTTTATCAAGAAATACAGTAAGATTGACTCACACACCCACAGCTGCAGTCTCCAAATATTTCCCAGAGGTTAAAGCTGCCTTTAAGAGTTAAAGGTACACTTTGTCACAGCTCCTATCCTCCCTCAGCCAGGCCTCAGTCTTTATTTTTTTGAAGAAGTAGATGATTCGGACACTGGGATGGGGGTTGTGCTCTCTCAATGCTACCCCTCTGACAATGTGCGGTTGTCACACAGCGATTCAGCAAAGCATGTAAACCATCTATTTAATATTGTGTAGGTCAACTTTATGCCACTAAAATAGTTTTGACCCATAGGGAAATGGACATGGGGCCTCTGGGTGTATCCTGTGGTGGCACTGAAATACTGACAGTAAGTCCTTTCATACAGTTTGGAGTTTTTCAGATCTCACTCTGGCCTGGTAAAAAGATAAGGAAAGTCTTTGCATTTCAAAATTCTATCAAGTATCTCCAGTCCAGCGTTGGTCAGTTTGGCCACACAACTGTTACTTACTAAACTTGGGGATGTTTGACAGATGGACATTATAAAAAAAAAAAATCTAAGATTCAATCATCCAGCAAGCAAACAGCCATGCTCACAATAATGCTCCTAATAAAAACATGTATTGAAATGTTTTCCTTGTGTCTTGGTTTAATCACTTTTTTCATAAGAGAGGACTTTGAGACCTGTTTTGCAGGCTTGAGAGCATGTGACAGAGCCGAAAAATGAGTGAAATGCAGGGTTGCCTGCCAACTCAAATGCATGAGAGTTGGCAGTCCTGCATTTTTGGCTTGAAAAAAAGCACTCTTTTTTTCTTCAGATACCATGTACAACACTACAACATATGAAGAAATTCTACGTTTAATACGCCTACCAAATCTAGTTTAGATTGCTAACTTGTGATATGACCGTTGCTGTTCAGTAGCAAACAATCAGTGAGTAAAACATTACTCGTAGAAATGATGACCAAAACTACAGAGGGAATATCCCATGTAATATAGAATATTTTTTAAGCCTAAATTTCAAAGAAAACTGACTTTGAACCATTAATTTGGTGTCATCACATCAGAGATGTATTTTGATACATTTTGGCATTAGCTGTTTACAGGTGTGTGCACTAAGTGTCATACCGATGGTGCCGTTGCCACCAGATCATTTTCTGTGCGGCCAGTCTGTATGGCTGTGTGAACTCGCACAGACTCGTAAATAGATGGCTCCTCCACATGCAATGGGTATGGACACTTCAACACAATGAGCGTTCCTGGTTCAGAGACAGAAGCAAGATTACACACTAGGCTACATAACGTTACAGCAGAAACAACAACATCCAACAACACAATGAACATACATTTCAGTTGTGTTTAAAATTGGAAAATATGCAGGGGAGATATTATGACAATTCTGGGGTGTGGTGCAATGTTTCTGGTGTGTAATGGGAATGTGTACAGCATCCAGACAAAAAAGTATGGAATGTTAAGCACTTGTGTATCCTTTATTTACGCAGTATTACTGAACATCAGATTTTATGGATTTCTCCTCAATAACCCAAAACATACTTGTGTTTGTTTTGTTATTATTATAATTATTATTTTTATTGGTTTTTACCTAAGACTTATAACTGAGAAATATACATTATTTATTTATTTATTATTGTCTGTTATTTGGTTTATTATTTGGTCGCCTTGCAGCTTGAAGATAGCTGGTTTGCGTCCCGGTTAGGACGCCTGGAATCTTTCTGTGTGGAATTTGCATGTTCTCCCTGTGCAGCGTGGGTTCTCTCTGGGTTCCTCCCACAGTCTAAAAACATGCTGAGATTAATTCGTAATTCTAAATTGTCTGTAGTTGTGAATGTGAGTGTACTTTGTTTGTCTCTAAGTGTAAGCCTGTGACGGACTGGTGACCTGTCCAGGGTGTCCCCTGCCTTCACCCTAAGTCAGCTGGGACAGACTCCAGCCCCCCACGACCCTAGTGAGGATTAAGGTGTATAGATACCGGATAGATTGAATTTATAATGTATAGGTGCAGTAAAAAGTATTTGACAAATCCTGACATCATCCACAGATGAAAAAGAAAATTTCCTAAATGTTATTCTTTTCTCCTCAGATCCCACTTCAAAAAAATATTTTAAAATTTAAAATTTATAGTTATAGAGTGACATGGATACTGAAGTGTCGGATCATGTGCCACTCCTCTTAGATGGTGCGTTGCTTGTATTCCACCTACACACGCTTTGCAATTCTTAAATGGCAATCAGACTGTTAGATCAGTATGCAAACAATATGGTTAAATGGCTAGATTCCTGCTCTCAGACTGCAGATTTACTTATGGTTCATGTCATTAACTTTGTGTTTTCTCTTTCCTGTAGTTTGTCTTTTGTCCTCTCTGCAGGTGTCTCTGGATCTGGAGCAACACATCTTTGATCTGCAGTTACTTGCTATACCTCAAGTTATATAAACACATATATACTGAATTACTGATTGAATAAGTATGTACATGCATGCATCTATATGCATATGAAAGATAAAAAGAGCATTGGCAGATATACACTGCTGTGCATAATGACCACCAGCCAAAAAATTTCCCTACCATAGCTACAGACGAACCTACACCCTTAAGAGGCTGTATGTTGGGCTCTAAGCGTGTGTCAACAGGATGCCTCCAGTAAAAACACAGACGAAGTATTAGATATTCTGCTGTTCTGTTAACCGTTTTATTAGCATATTGCTCATGCAATGGCCTCTGTTTATACTTGTTGTCAAAGACACAGGATTCTGAACAAAAAACGTGCACGTCTTTTGATTTATCTCATACATACATCAAAACAAGGAAAGAAAACAAACAAACATTTTTGTTATAAGCTGGTAACAAGCAGTTGTTAGTGAAGTTCAAATTGTACATACCTGTGTCACTGCCCAGCAAGGGCTGGTTAGCAAAGTGGCTGACGAAATCTTGAAGGGTTGCAAACTCGTTAAACCCAAATGCATAGCCATTGTCTTTTCGTGTCACCTGAAAATGCTTTACCGAATCCTTTGCCCTATGTGTCAAATGACAAACATTTAATGTTGCACTTTTAAAGCCATTCACATGCACAGTGTCAAGTTCATGACAGAAAGATCAACTGCAACAAAAAACAGCATGTTTCTTCAGAGCCTTCCATCACTCTCACTTTTTTTTACAATGCAAACAAATAGAATGATTACACAAACTTTGTGCTGAATACACTAGATACTGAAAAACAAGTGTACTGATGAAAGTACCATTTATGCATTGTTTATGGTGTTACCACTGTTAAACTGATCAAAACCATAGAGACTGACCTGACAGACAGGGCGAAGCAGTCAGGTCCCTCATTACTGTTTCTCAGGAGGTAACTTCCATCTGTTCCATTGGACAAGAGAAGGGCTTCTGCAGCATGGCGGGACAGGTCACCATGGTACCACCTTTGACAAACAATAATAATATGAGCTGAGAAACAATCATTATGCATGATAAAAAATGACAGTTCGTCTCACTGCCACATTGTACTAATTTATGATAAGAAACTTTTTCATTATAACTTATTAGTTATACATGTTTTACTTTCAGGTTCTGAGTATCAGCTCATTATGTTGAAATAAAACAATGGTTAATGTTAAAGTACATACTGGCTGCTGAATTGAGATTGAATTCAGCTGAAATGAGTAAGTCTACAATGATACTGAAAGAAATCTGTATATAACCAAAAACGTTCAGGAACATAATTATGATTTTAACCAAACTGAGTAGGCACCCCAGGGGCTCAAGACCAAAACAAAGGCATCATAACTATAATATTGATTGATTGCCCAGTTCTGTAAAGAAAGTGTCTGTTCTTATTTTTGGCATTTTTTCCAACAATAGATAGTCACAGTTGAGACGGGAAATGTGGCGGCTTAGTGTTGATGTTATTTGTGCTCATGTGTTGTTCCACATTACCAAGTGGCTATCAGGTCACTCACAACTATACTTGTGACCACACATGCAGCACCTACATTCTATTTGCTGGTACACTGTTGCCAAAAAAGTGTGAAGGAACACACTTTAAAGAGGTTTTCAGAGACCATTTATGCTGTTAAATAAACCTTAGACTGTCTGCCAGCTGCAAAGAAAACTAAAAAAGAGATGTGAAAGATCTTCATTTGCATTAAGAGCTTCTGGGATTGAGTAAAAACAAACAAACAAAGAAACTAAACTAAGCTAAACTAAACTAAACTAAACTAAGCTAAACTACACTAAATGAAACTAAACTAAACTAAACTAAACTTAAGAGAAACGCACACAATATCCAAAAGGTTTTGATGATATTTTAAATCAGCATCAGATTTATCTGTTTACATTGCACACCAGAAACAGTCATAAGCTACTCAAATAACAAATTTGATTTGAAATTGATAAATTGCTTAGTTCTAATGTCTTATTGTCTCAGCTTGGACTGTTGCACTTAATGGAACCATGTAGAAAACAGATAGACAACTGGTGGCCCGTGGGCCACATCCAATTAATTCCTTATTTTATATCTATATGTTATTTGTTTTTTCATAAATTTTAAAATATTTTTATATGAAACAGAATATGAAAATACACACTTATAGTGTGGGCCCCTGGTAGTGTTAGGAAACAAATTGTTGACGTTCTGTCATTAAAGTTGCCCATCCCTGCTGTAGAAGGTCACTGTTACCACCCAAAAACAAGAGTATAGATTTGACATGGCCATGTTCTGTGCAGTTTTTCAGGTAAAATTGGGACTACTTTTACAGTGATGCACTTACACATGAAGGTGTTGTGGTGGTCTAATTAGACACATATCTTACTGTATAATTAACAATCCCTCGTTTGATTCTGCACCAGGGGTCCGTTTCACAAAGCAGGTTCGACAAACTCTGAGTCTAATCCTGAACTCTGAGTTGATCTACTCTGAGATAGGAAACTCTGAGTTTTCTGTTCCAGAACAGCAAATTTGAGTTAGTTTAATCAACTCGGAGTAGTTTTACCTGGAGTTAAGCGCATGCACGACAACCATAAAAAGCCAGCATCAATGGAGCCCCGATTCGACGAGTTACCATGGCAATGGGGAAGCGGAGGGCTGCATTTTTCATTTTACATTTCACCCCACCAGAATTGGAAATTTTAATGCGCTCATACAGCGAGTTTGAACATGTTTTTAAAAAGAAGTGCAACACCGCTGGAACACAGAGGGAGACGGTGTGGAGAACATTGTTGCTCGGGTCAATGCGTAAGTTTAAATGTCGTCCTTTGCAGTCACAATAATATGACAGGGAAAACTGCTTGAATGTAGCCTATTCATTTATTTCATTTATCAGTCGGGGGGGG